CTAAGGAACTGAAGAGGAGAGGAAAGGAGAGTTTGAAGTAGAAATTTTTCATCCAGAAGTGCTATTTGAAGCCGCAAGGAAGAGAGGACTTGATGGTGTGCTCTCATCTCTGTGGGTCTGTTTCCATGCTGGCATTTACCACAGAACAGCCACTATGAAGTGATCCCTGGTATCACCAAGACTGTGATGTTCATGGTCAGAGACCATACCTGTGATCATTCACCACTAAAGTAATGACTGAGTAGGCATGGAGTAACCGTTACTAGACGAGTTAGAGCAGAGAGAGAGAGCTCAGGTGAGAGGAGGAAGAAGAAACAGGTAGAAGAGTGGAAAACTTGGGGTGAGATACATTCCTTTTAAAGAGGTTACAACCTTCTTAAGTGCCCCATGACACTCCTCCAATACAGACAGGAAGCAGTGTAGTCAAGGGGTCACTTCGGGAACCCACAGTGGTGAGGCTAGGCAGGTCATAGCCTTTCTCTCCTGGCTATGCAATGACCATAATAATTGATCCAAATGTGGGCACATGACTCAGGCCAGGACATTTAGAGTCATTTCTCAGGAATTGCCCAACTGGATCTGAGAAATGACACTCCCCCTCCCCTCCAACTGTAGGTGTGTGCTCCTGCATTTCCTGCAGCCTGAAGATGCCTGGACGGTGGGAATATGCCTGATAGCCAGAGAGAAGCAGGCCAGAGAAGGGCTGGCTCGGGCTTTTCCTAAGGTCAGCTCCACCTTGCTCTTCCCAGTTATATGAGCCAAAAAATTCTTTTTGTACTTGAGAGTTTAGTGTGGAGTTCCTTTCTCTTGAAATCTATCAGCTGCCTTTCTCTCCAAAATGCACCCTGTATCTCACCATTTCTCCCCTCTCCCCTGGATTGAAACTACCACTGTCTCTTGTCTGGGTAAATGTGGTCTGTTCCTCTCTAGTTCTCTCTTGTAACCCAGAAGGCCACATAAACTTGGATAAATATCAGTCAGATCTTGTCACTTCCCTGCTGCAAACCTCCGTGACTTCCCATTGCATCTAGACTCCTTATCCTACCTTTTAAGACCCTGCACCATCTGCTCTGTCTCCCCTCCAACTTTATTCCAGTCCTCATCACTGTGCTATAGCAACATGGTCATGGTCCTTTTTGTTTCCTAAACTCATTAAGCTTGTTGTTGTTTTTTTTTAAGATTTACTTATTTATGCCTACAGGCCAGAGGTGCAGGGGCGGTGAGAGGATTCACCAGAGACAGAGAGGGGAGCAGAACAGGCTGACTGACAAAGTACACTGCTGAGGGGAGCAGCGGGCAGGTCAGGAGAGGTCTGCTGCACCATGTGGGTCACCTCCAGGGCCAGGGATCGAACTTGCACTGAGGCGGCTGCCGCTAGCTTGTAGAGCTGCGTCCTAACCAGTTGTGCTACCAGGAAGGGCCCTAAGCTCATTAGTTTTTCAGGGCTTCTATATCTTATTTTCTATTCTAGAGCTTTGCATGGTTAACTTCTTGTGATTCAGTTTTCAGCAAGTACTAGGGTACTCTTAGCTCTCCCACCCCAACTCTTTTTATATCATTTTGTTGTTTAAATTATTTGCAGAAGTTGTCACTAGCTCTTTATTTATCTTTTTGTTTGCTTTTTGTTACCTGTCTATCCCCCTTGAGGTGAGCTCCAGTTCAGCCTGTCCCTGACTGTCTTGGTGACTATATAGCTGCCCAGTAGGTGCTCAAATGATATAGAATGAATGAATGACAAAATTATGAGGCACTGGAGTTCCTTGCAGACCCTTGTCAGGTCTCTTTCTTCGCACCATGGGGTCCTCCACTTTAATGACTAGCATATAACTCATAGAACTTAACTCACAGGATGACTCACCTATCATTTGACCTCACTCAATCCCTTTTTTCGTGCTGAGCCAACTACAAAGATTGTTGGAGATTCAAGGAACCAGGGGTTAGAAAAGCCCAAAGCTCCCAGAAGATCCCAATTGAGTGGGTCTGACTTGATGGGGGCAAGGCCTCATTCCTGCTCCCCATCAAGCCATTCCTACGAGGCCTTTCCATCTGGCCCCTTCCCTGGCCTGGGTCACTCACAGAGCCTGACTTCCCTTGTCTCCCTGCCTCCCTAGCCCTCCAAAGGTCTTATTTGCTAAATTCTTGTGAGGAATTCACATAAGGCCATGACCTTCACTGTGAGAATGCACAGGCTATAAAAGGCCAGCTTTGTGGTTAAATATTGATAAGACCAGGAAGCAGAGGAGTGGAATGGGCATCCATGTGTCCCCCTGATGTGGCAGAAGCTCCCGATGCCAGCCTGGACAGCTCTGGATCCTATTCCCCTGGGCTGGCAAGAGGATAGGGATGTTTTCTCTTTACATGAGGCCTCTGTATAAGAAGGGAAGCAGTGGGCTCCTGGTTCTCTCCGATTGTGAAAGTCAGGTGGAGCCTGATATCTGAGGCCACTCATCCAAGCGGTCAGTCACCTCTGAGTGGTAAAGAAATTTCCATGCCTGGGCGTGTGCTAAGAGCAGACTACCAGATAGGCCCAGAAGCCAAAGGCTCATAGACACTGCTCCCCAGGTGACATCTGTGAGGAGAGGTCAGGTGCAAAGACCATCCAAGACTTCCGTGAGGAGAAGAAGACACAGAAATCTGTGCTGCTCCCAACAGTGGACCAGGGCAAGACCCAGGGGCCCAGGATCCAGGGTGAGTGTCCTCAACTCCCATGGGGATGGGCAGCCTAGGGTCTTTGGCAGGAATCACACCCAAGTGGTAGATATTTAGGCCGTGCTTAAAGACAGTGGTCTCCCAGGGGAGGTCTGTAGAGACAATCAAATGCAATGTGATCTGGATGGGATGCTGGAGTAGAAAAAAAAAGCATTAATGGGAAATGAGTGAAATCCAAATAAATCATGAACGATAAACATGATTCTGTTAATGATAAACACAGAAGCAGGGATATTAACACGATGCTCTGAGAGAAATGTGTGTTTTGTCTTGTGACTGACAAAATGTGTGCTTTGTCTGACAAGAGCGGGCTCCCTCTGGTCTTGTAGTCATCTTTTTTGGTTTTTATTGTTTGTTGATATATGTTGATTAAAACAACACTATCCATATTTAAATATATTTAAAATGTACATTCCATTGTGGACTTTAGCCCACCT